AATGTTCTGAAAAATTAATTATTAAATTAATTATTCTATTCAAATAGTAAGTCAATTTACAAGTCAATTAAATATTTTTAATTATTTAGCAAATAAATTATAACTTTAATGCATATTTAATATTTAATATGTTAAATTTTAAGTAATAAATACACATGCTATATAAAGTATATTCAATCAATTTAAATATTTACGTATATAATTTATAAAAATAAAATATTTAATTTAGTAATTGACTTTTCAAATATTAATTAAAATGAAATATAAAGTTGAAACTTTAAAAATTTTTTAAAGAGTAAAATTTATAAAATTAAAAAAATCACACCTTCACAAAGAATATGCAAAGAATTATTCCTTCTAATTTAATAGGCATCCCCTTACAAGCAATCTCTGACAGGCAACATGATGAGATATATGGCCCATACAGCTTCGAATAATCAATCCCTCAGAATATGCAAAGAATTATACCCTTTTTTTAAAAAAGGAAGCTCTTACAAGCAATCGATGAAAGGCAATGTGGGCCACAGCCTCCTTATTCCCACAATTTATCAATTTTAACTCTTTTTTTTTTTAAATAAACATCATTGATATATTAAGACTTAAGAGTTCCTAACTAGTTAAATAATTTCAACTGTAATCTCATTTTTAAAGAATTAAAAAGTTTTAAATTTGAGTATAAAAAAAAAATTCATCATTTAACTTTAATTATGTAATCTTTTAGTAATGTTTAATCGCCATTAGACCCAAAACTTCTTTGGCAATGGAATTTGGGTTTTGATAATATTATTATATGTTAAAGAAAATCAAATATAAAACCAAATGAGTAACACATGAAGATATCCAGCTTCATTATCTTGTTTTAACATATAACTCTATAAATATTTTCTTAATTAATTAACATAATAGGGATTTTCCAATTCAATATATACACATATATATATATATGTCCCAAATTAGACATGATGCTAATAGATGCAAATATGGTGATTAACAAGTGATTTATTCGATTAGTATAAAGAAAAGGAAGTGCTTTTTTCTTAAAAAAAGAAAAGAAAAAGGAAAAGGAAGTGCTTAGAAATGTTTGAAGATGATGAAAATAATTGTTTTCTAACCTGAAACGCAACTTCAGATTGATTGTAAAGCCCTTTTCTTCCCCAGTCTCCGACGACCAAGAAGCTGAGAGATCCGTCAGCCTTCACCGGATGTTGGAAACGTTGGAGCTCTGCTGAAGAAGAAGAAACAAGGGATAGCCATAGGCAAGAGCAGAGGAGAAAGATTTTGGAGAAAACAGCACCCCTCAACATAACTTTTTAAGGCAGGCACACACACAACACACAACGGAAAGAGAAAATGACCTTGTTTTCCACGTTAAGATTAGCTTTTATATCTAGCTACCTTTCCTTTCGTTGACTGAAAGAAAAAAGAAAGCTAGGTTTTCGATTGTTGGC